TTTAAATTACGTATATATTACAGTATTATATCAATTTTTATTGAATTTATTATGCCGAAAAAATTACCGGCCGAAAATTTTTTTCAGCTAATTTTTTATAGGTGTCCCAGGAATAATGAAAACAGCTGTAAGCTGGTTATACCGGACTAAATTAGGAAATTCCCTATACCGCTTTTTTACCAGCTCATGACTATGTGTACACCATCAGGATTTGGATTTTTAACGACCCCCGATAAAAAGATTGTTAATAGTATCAGAATAAAAATATTTTAATTATATTCTTATTATATAGTAAGCAAAATCAGAGGTTTCTGCAAAGTATGTTATTAATTATCCTTTCAGATAGCAAAAACCAAAACCTTTGCATTCATTATTTTGAAACATGCGAAATAAAGGCCATATATCAACAAATTTTTAGCAAAAAAGTTTTTCATTTCCATAGACTATAAAAAGTTAGCTATAACATTGATAAAATTTATCAGCATAAAACTGCCATTTATCATATTAACACATATAAGTAAGTAACATTTTTGGTCATTGCAAGTATCCGTTAGCTCTTAACCAATCTTCAACATCCTTTTTATCACGTGTTAACCAAGCAGTATTGACACGAATATTTTCTAAACTTTGTTGTAAAGGTCTTGAAAATTCCTTAGTATCTTTGTTAGAAAAGAAATTTTCAATATCTTTAATATCTGCGTCAGACGAAAAAGCACCAACACTAGATTTAATTATATTTCCAAACAAATTCAGAGATTTGACATATCGTTCGTGAAACTGTAATTAAACAAATATTAATATGTAAACAAAATTTATATATAAAAATTAAAAGGTTTGATATTGTATAAAAGACTTACAAGTTCCCAATTTTCCTTAACATATTTCCACAGTGCCCTTCGCGATTTGCGATTGAACTGCAAGCTGCAAACATACAAATTAGGAAAATTTTAAATTATCACATATTATAAATAAACCATGAATACATTATGAACATTATAAATTCAAGGAGAAAATTCTCACCCAGCGAATGCATAAATGATGTCTTGATTTTTAACTTCCTCTGATATGGAAAAGTCTAACGCACGTTTAATCAAATCTTCTTGCTGAGCGAATCCAAGACCAGTTAAAGCAGCGAGTTTCTGATCTGCAGTATTTGTTTCACGATAGGCTTTCAAAATTGCTTCAAATTCATTTACTCCACCACCGTTACATAGCACAATTTCGTAGACAGCTCCACGAATATTAGGATGTAAAGCAGTTTTATCATTGTTTTTTGTAAATAATTCAAATCTGCGAAATGCTTCCTTAACAACTCTAAAATATTTGAAAATGAAATGAATTGAATAAATTGAAATATTTATTTTAAATAAATATGAACTATAAACAGCAAAGCATAAAAACTTACTCAGGATCTTTAGCTCTGCCAGCAACTTTAATTATTAAAGTCCTCAACATAGTGGTTAAGTAGTCCTCATTTTCTGGATATTCCCAACTCAATTTAGTAACAAATTTTGAAATTAAATGATGTTGAAAAAGTAGAAGTCCTTTGTATACAGGCTCAGGTTGTTCAAACCACACATTAAAGAAATTCGTTATACGAGAATTAATTTCCATCCATACGCTATGGTAAAATAAAATTCATATATATGATATTTAAAATAAAAATTTCTTTAAAATAATTCATTAACTCACAAATATTTATCTTCGTTATCAAATTCATTAATGAGGCTCAAAAGGCTACTCGTTTTTGTATAACCGCTTATTGCCAAAGCACCAACATCAGCAACTAACCCAACTCGATCACTAGTATCAAGTAAACCATTTTTGACAGCTTGACCCAATTTTGCCAATCGTTCTGGAGTATAATTTACACGAAAGACGCCAGTTACATGAGAATTAAGTTTATAGAACTCAGATGCACCATGCGGTAATTTTACATTAGTTTCTTTTGTAGTAAGGACTCTAGATGATAGGGATCCAAAGTTTATTCCAAGTGGCACCCACCATAATGTAGTATCTTCATCAGGATTGGGTTTCCCGGTTGAAAGGAAACGGGATTGACAAATATGTAGCGTGTCATCTGGAAGTTCAATAACAGTCAAAACTGGATACTATATGATTGTATTAATATTAAGACTGAATTTTTAATGATCACAACTTTTAAGAATTAAAATGCACATACACCAACAACTCTAGTCCAACTCGTCATGAATTGGCCAATGTTAATTCCACTTTCCTCAGATAAAGCTTTCCATAAATCATCAGTACTAGCATTACTATACTCGTGACGCTTCAAATAACGCCTAATTCCAGTTAAGAAAACATCTTCTCCCATGAAGTTACTCAACATGCGAATGACGGATGCACCTTTTTTGTAACTTATTGCATCAAAAATCTGGTTGATTTCACTATTAAAGCATATCATTTATTGATAATTTATCATGTCAGTAAATAAGAAATAATATATATACACACATATATGTATATGTAAATATACCTAGAATCATTTACGGGAACTTCAATAGGATGGGAGGATCTTAAGGAATCAAGTTGAAGTCCTTGTTGAAAACTTTCAGTAACAAACCTATTAAAATAGCATTTACTTAATGACATATTAACAAATAATATTCAAATTAAATAACATGAAAACTCACTGAGTCCAGATATCCCAATCTAATATCAACAAAGTGTGTATAATGAACGAAAGTCGATTTTTGAAAGTCATAAATGACAACTGAGAATATGAA